ACAGGAGACTTATTCTTTTAGTCCATAGCCTGAGGTCATGCATTCGATTACAAAGGGTGTATTAAAGTGTGTAGTTGACAGGCAAAAACAGATGAGTGGCAAGGGAGTGGACTATTCATGCCAACACCAAATATATGCTGAAAATTCCATTTAACTCGCAAGTTGCCAAGACTTTATAGAGTCGGTTATTCTTTAGAGTTCAATTTACTCATACTGGATATCTGCAAGTCGTTGACTTTTCATAATGCTTATTATACCATAAGCACATTGAATATGGAAAATCAGGATCTCTGAGAGAGAAGAGGGCGTGGCAGACCCGATAAAGTATACATATTCCTTATCAGAGCGCTGAGCCGAAGCCATTCATTAAGGCCTATCTCTCTATTTGCGTGTCCGCTAGTTGGAACGCGTTGATCTCTGAAGATATAAGAGCTAGCGACTTTGAATTCATTGTGGTAAATTCATATATACATCGTGCATATTGAGTTTGTTTCGGAAACTTGATAACTACTTCCGTTATTTTATTATCAACTAAAAACCGTATAGAAAATTGGTTATATAATTTTATCCCCTATATCCTTAGAGCCAGAGTCTCAAAATTTCAGATAAGATATTTATGGTTTGTATAGAATTTCGATTTTAGTTATAATTCACCCCCACCATATCCCTCTTAGTCCCACAAAATTAGTCAAAATCATGTTATTTAGGTCCTCTTATGAATGACTTTTCCCATTGTTCAATCGTGTGGTGCGCCGTCCGCAGACTGAGCTGTCTCTGCAATTGTGTGAGCCCTCAAAACTTAAGCCGATTTCCGGCTCATCAATAACTTGCAATTAAATCAATGAGCGAGCTTCCCTCTGCTTGCAGCTTTGGCTGAGGTGTCAACTCTGCCGTGGCTCATTAGACAGCATTTAAAGAGAGGGTGAGAGAGAGATGCGGGGCGGTAACAAACGAGCAGCCTGAGAAAAAAATAGAGAGATTGTAATCTTGAAGTCAGACGAGGGCCAAACGGCCGCCCGCTCACCGCAATTGAATTCCCCTGCGGTCAGAGAGCAGGAGACGGGAGTTGGGCTCGCTGTTAAGTATGTTCGTAATTTAGATTTATACGCCCCGTCCCCAGACGCGCACAGCCCCTCCAGGCTAGGCAGCTGCAGAGTCGAACGAGCATCTATTGAAAGTTGGCGTTGATTATGTTTGATTTATATGACAAGCCGCTCACAAACAGAAGGCTGCCCATGGGGGTTGCCATCCCTCGGCCAGGGAGATGTGTTAATCCATTACAAATACGCGATGTCGCACACACACACACACACACACACACGCGCACACACAGTTTCGCTTTCATCTCGACCCTTGAGGTAGATATTACTTTCTCTGACTGGCTTTTTAATTGCCAGCCCAAAACTGTAAATGACACCCTCATAAATTGGCCTCGACCGGCAGAGTTCACTGGGGTCAGAGTCGAGCTCTCAGTGTCCAGCTGTCAATCACATTCGAGTTGACTTGAGTTGACGAGTGCATAAAAAAGGAAACGATCGTTTAACGACAGCCATCAAAACTGCGAGCTGCAAAATCGCAGCGCAGCTCTTTCAGCCAGGGGCCGGCATTTAATGAGCTCCACTGTGTGGGCGTGGCATCGAAGCATCCAGCTGGGCTCAGAAAGGAAGCTGTTGAAATCTTGTGATGCATTAAAATTTGCAAGTTTTCGACTTTGCTTTGTTCCTCTGCTCCTGCTCCTGCTCCTGCTCCTGCTGCTGCCAACTTCTGTTGCTGTCGACTTCTGCTGCTGCTGCTGACATTTGTGTGTCAGTGGCACGTTTTGCATGCTTTTAGGCTCTCTCTCACACACTCGCAAATTATGCAAATGTCGCTTTTCTGCGTAGCTGCTTCGTTTTTTTTAATGAGCACACAGAGACTCTTACACAATCACAACCGCAGCCCGCAGTGCGTAAAGCAAACGAGTTGTTGACTGTCTCTGTGTTTGTATGTGTGTGTGTGTGTGTGTGTGTGTGCGTGCTCGCGTTCCTTATTTGTGCTGCTGCCTTGACTTGCGCCTGCAAAGCAATTAAAATGAAATAAGAAATCCCTTGCCAGTGGCAAGCAATAGACAGCTGCCACGCCCTCAATTGGCAAGGCAACAAATGTGGGCAATGATTTGTCAATCAAGTATTATGCTTGCCATCGAAAGGTAAGCGGCAGCTGAGTAGGTGCCGGCAACAGTTAACTCACTTGTTAGCCATTTGTCGTGTTGGCAGAATGAAATTGAATTACTTTAAGCCAGAGCACGACGTGCATGTTGCCAAAGTCATTCCGAAATATGTTGCGAGCCTCGCTTGGCCACATTTTCAGCAGGCAGCACTTAACGAAAGCAGCATGTGTCTAGCAACATGTTGCCCTGGCGTGCTGAGACCGCAGCACTGAAGACTTCTGACATTTGCTGTCGCTTTGTGGTGTAGCTGTCAAAGTTGACAGCCGGTTGAACTTTCTGTCAAGCAAAAATAAAGACAAAAGACTAGCATTTCAGCCAGCTGGCGTGCCTATCAAGGAGTTAGCATTGACATGTCAGAGAACTAACTCAGTTTTGCGAAATGTTGATAAGCCAGCAGACAGATTGAAAATGAACGACGAGTTCTAGTTCGAATAAATGTACATTTAAGAGTTTAACTTTAACTTGGGTTGGCTGTTCATAGATTTGAGCAGCTCTTCAGGCTCTGATTATACATTAATGCTAATGAAAATTGTATATATAAGGAGTTTTTCTAGATATATTTGTTGTACTTCTCAGCTAAGGTGACCAAATCTTGAATTAAGAATATGAATCGGCTCACATAGATATGTATATATGACCTCATTTTAAATAAATATAAGGATTTTCCTAGAGATACGTATATGTATGTAATTCACACTTAAGCAATGTATTTCAATGCCCAAAATGAACACAGGGTGTAATAGTTACAGGGTGTCATCTCTACCTAACTCTTATTCTCTTAGGAATACACGTTTTATATTCAATGTGAATACAGGATGCAACAGTTACAGGATGTCTTCTCTATCTATTTCTCTTAAAGATACACGTACAATATCCAAACTGGACACAGGGTGTAACATTCACAGGGCGTCCTCTACCACTACACTATGGGGTGTCTATTAATGCCTCCATTTCCATTGAACAAGTTTATTAAGTATACATCAGCTCCATCTAATCAGATTAATAAATGCTTTGAGTTTTGCCCCACTGTGCGCCGCTCAAGTCCGATTAGGCCCCATTCCTAACGCCCTAACTGACCTGCCTAAGCAGTTGATATTCAGAAAGAGTTCATCGAATTATAATTGCATAACTATATTTGGCTCTGGTCGCTTGAAGGGGATTAACGGAGAAAATCATTCACTGTTCTAGGAATCAATTTTAGCATTGATTTCCGCGTAACTGTGAACCTGTTGGCCAGTGCAATCGTCTTGGGCTTCACTTAATTAACCGAGCGAAGACTTTGACGTATTTATAGAAATGGAAATGGATTAGTTAACGAGAGGTCATTGCTCTTTGGGGCTATAGCAGTGACACAGCTGGGTCATAATCGTCCTTGCTGGCACATCGACAGCCCAGCCACACGGCCACACCCACCCAGCCGCCACACAAAGAGGCGAATAATTGACGTTGCTTGTTGTGTGCGCTTCATTAATGCTGTTGACCAGCAGATAACTCAATTTGTGTTTACTTATGGCCAGGAGCGAGCGGCGAGCGGCGAGCGGCGAGCAAGCCCCAAGCCCCGACTTGGGTTGAGTGACCCAGAGAGAGAGGTGGGTTTTCGGCCACTTGCTGTCAAATTAGTGCCTAGTTTCGGGCGCATAATTGGCCTGGCCAAAACTTTTAACACGACGCCATCAAAGATTTATGGAAATTATGCATGTTTTTGTTTATGCTCTGCGCAGATTTATGACTGCTTGCAATAAATCACACACACACACATAGACAGAGGCGCTCGCTCTCTTCTGTGTGTGTGTGTGGGCGTGCTCGAGTTGTCTATTAATTGGTTGCATAAAACAACAGTAAAAAGGCTGTTGCCAAAGGTCAAGTCCATGACTGCATGTTGCCGCAGCATGTTGCTGCAACACAGCAGCCGAGCGAGCATGCGGCGCACACGAGCATGCGAGATGACAGAGAGCAGCAGAAATAAAGGTTAGTGTCGTCGCATATGGCGTGTGTGTGTGTGTGGGCGGGGGGTTTGACCGACCGAGTGACGAAACGCCGAGCACTCGTCTCGCATTCGTGCCATGCAAGTCAGTCACATCGAACACGGTCGCATGTTGCATGCGCAACATTTTAGCTCGATGCTGTTAACAGTCCCAATCGCTTAACATAAGCAGTTGGACCGCACAGCATCCGATTATTTACTATGGCATTAATCCTATCTTCGCATAAGAGTTCCTTCATTAATATTGATACTTTGATTTAATTGCTAATACAATATATTTATAGATTAAAGTCACCGAAATAGAAGGCAATCGATAATATATTGTGGGCACAAGTCCGAATAAGAATGTATTCATTTAAATGGATAATAACATATTAAAATAAACTTGACTGTTAAACAGTTGAGGAGGTTTTTCGCGCAACATACGACTCTCAGGCAACAACAATATGTATATAAAATATATATAATTGTTGTTGGTATATGTATGTAATTGTCTGGTATATTGATGAATTCATTTGATAGTAATTCGAGTTTAATATAGATTAAAAATCTTACCTAAAATTTACCACTGACTACTTGGACCTTCTGGTATCTATTTACTTGATATTCCCATAAAGTTTTCCTTCTTATTTCTGTTGCTTAATAAATATTTTTCACTTTCAAATTAACGTCCCGCACAGCTGTTGGCTTGGCTTGCAACTTGGCCCGGCGGTCGAGCATTTGGTTCGAACATTCGGCTCGAACATTCGGTTGGCAGCGCCTGTCGACGGCGTCGCCTCAGTTTCTCATTCGCTTCTCGTATTCGCAGTCGTTCGCACGAGCGCGCGCATTGTTCAGACGGTTTCGCAGACGCGTTTGATGGCCCAGTGGATGAAGCAAGACATAGCTGAGACACACTGAGCCTTGTTTCTCAGAAGTCGTGAAAGAATCAAATTTGACTCGCATTTTATGCGTTAATTAGGCAGAAGGCTAAACGAAAGGCCAAAATAAAAACAAAACGAAAACAAACAAAATAAAAGTAAATAGCTCGTAAGCTACTACAGAAATTATTGTCGCTGTCGCGGATGCTGTGTGTGTGTGGGTGTGTGTGTGTGTGTGCGCCTATCCTAACAACCGCATCCCACCCCCTAGGCCAAGCCGGTTCAAAGTGCGTGCGAATAGTCGACGTTGTCCGGGCAGCGGTCGGGTCGGGGCAACTTGGCCAACAGCATTTGCCGTAATTTCGCGTTAAAATAAACACGCAAAAGCAAAAGCAAAAAAAGAGACTTAAAAATTTTGCTCAAAGAGCAAAATACAGCAACAACAACAACAAACAGAGCAGTGCATAGCATAAAATAGAAAAAAAAAATCAAATAAGAATTGAAATTTAGGCCAAAAGCGGATTACGAGAATTGTTGCTGCTAACAGAAACAACAACAACAACAACAACACAAAGGAAAGATTTTCATCTCGCAAAGGCTTTCTGCGTGTGCGTGTGCTTGTGCTTGTGTGCGTGTGCGTGTATAAGTGTGCAAAATAAAATTGAATTGCAAAACAACAACCACACAAAGAGAAAGAAAACAAACAAAATAGAAATACAAATAAATAAAATGAAAAGTGAATGAAAAATTCAACACATGAAAGGAAATACCAAATAAAATCGCCTTAAGCAAATAAACGACAGCAAGCGGTCAGTGAAGCGTGCTGAGATCCAGAGATCTCGATTGAGCAATTGGAATCGAGATTCGCTTTCGTGCTCATTAGTTGGCTGGGTAAGGCGGGTGCCACGCCTCAACGCATGAACGCCTCCAATGTCCATGGCAATTAATTGGCTGCCAAGCAAAACCTGAGCACGAATTGATGAACAAAAGTAAAGCAAATTAATGAAACTCGCTGCTGCTCTCCCATGCGTATATGTGTATATGTGTGTGTGCGTGTGCGTGTGCGTGAGTGTGTGCATGTGCGAACACAGTGAACGCAGTCAAGCACCGCTGGCATTTATACACCCGCACAAATAAGTCTGCGCTCGCGTGCTGTCATAATTTATCACAATTGTCAACGTCTGCCATAAGTGGGCCAGCAGAGTGAAAGAGAACGAAAACTAGAGAGAGAGAGAGAGAGAGAGGGAGAGAGTGCTGAGTGCAAGTGCATTCATAGCTTACAAACTGCAGCTGCAAATCTTTCAACATTACAACAAAAACAACTCGAACTACACAAAAATAAATAAAAACAAATTCATCAAATTCGTCAAATTCTTCTTCTATTGTGCTTTTTTTTTTCTTATGACCTTCTCTCTGTGTGTTTTGGATAAAAAGTTAAAGTACAAATCGCTTTGCTTCATACCCGGATAAGCCCATCAAAAAGGAGCTGAGGCCAGAGCCAGAGCCAGAGCCAGAGCCAGAACAGACGAAATAAACTTTTTCTTTCTGGATTTCGCAAAGTTCTACGCTAAAACTTGCGAATTAAGTTCAAGTTTATGTTCGGACGGCTGCTTTAAGGAACAGCAATAATTTTTGTAAGTTTGCCAAAGGTAGATAAACAAGTACCTATACAAGCATGCATACATACATACATATATGTGTATGTATATTTCGTTATATATTTATTTGAGCTTTCAGTCTTTAGCAAAGAAGCTGCTTTAATTTAGTTTAACTTCAATTCTAAATATAACAATAAAAAAAACAAAACATTTTTGGTTTATTCATTTTAGCAATTTGTTGTCTAATTGAAAAAAAAAAAAAAAAAAATTTAAATTGATGCTTTGGTTAGATAACCAAATTGGTATCAGCTTTATATGAAAATGAAAATCAAAGTTTCTAGTATGAATGGCAGTGACATAATTGTTTCTCTATAATAATCCTCTTGAATTATAATTTATTATAATTATAAAAAGTTAATTTTTTACTCTCACAGCTCTTATATCGGAATTGCATAAACAAGTTTTCTGCATTCTATAGGTAAATGTCATAAATAAATGTCAATTATACAGCTTGATTACTCTATGTATTAATAACATGTTTTATATGCAGTTAGATATGCCCAAGTTAGCCTAGGATGGTTTAAGCAGTAGCTAAGTATTATGTATTGGAATAACAATGTAAATGTGTATTATATATTGGAGTACTCTACCACTTATACCCTGTAATAATAGAAAATAGGCTATTAAAATATAATAGAGGCATTGTAGACCCCATAAAGTACATATATTCTTGATCAGGGCGATAAGCTGAGTCTACTATATATATATATATAGTCTACTATTCATATACTATATGGTATATAGCCATGATCGACAGTCCGTCCTCATGTCCTCTGTGCTCTAAACCACAGAAGCTGGAGACTTGAAGTCGAACTCGTTTACTAGTATATCCCAATCTTATTTTTGTTCGATAATCATACAATATTCTCAGAATAGATCAAAATAGATAATTCCACAACGTAGCTTCAATGCCACAATAGATGAAAACATTCAATTTAGTGTGTGGGCCTCCTCCAACTAACTCACAGCCTTACACAAGTGGATGTCGATATGAAACACTAAAACTTGATTAAAAGTGCTCACCTAGAAGATAAGTAAACGTAAATACATATAAACTTCTTCGGCATAATATTATTCTAATAGTTAATTTTGTACAAAATAAGAGGCTAAGCTTTCATTTAAGGCCAATTGCCAATGCTCAAGGACCAATCGTGCATAAGTTATCTAAAAGAATTTAATTTAATTTCGTTAAAAAAGAAAAATCTTTATAAATACTTTTGCAAAGTATTTCAAACTGAAAATTGAATAAAAAAAATTGTAGGAAAATAAATGTATGTATTTACATATATGCAGTTTATTTATCTAAGACTTAAAGCTATATTTTTATAGTTTGTAGTAAATTTGAATTTTTGTGTAGTTAGGATAGGAGCGTTCAATACATGCAAATGTATTTTCAAAAATGCTACAGGAATTTTTATTAGCTTTAACGAAAGCTGGATGGCCGAGTCTAGTTTTTGACTAACGACCTAATGCAATTTATGCCGAAAATTTCAAATTTCCATTTAATTGTTGCGCTCTAAGCCAAAAATTTCTTGAACTGAATTCAATTTCCCAGCTACGAGGAATTAAGCCGCATGACTTGTTTATTGATAAATTCCTGATTTAAACAGATCATGGATATAGATAGTTCCAATAAAACGTAATATTAAATTGAATCTAATAAAAGCTGAATAAGCAAAAATTGAATAAATTCATTGGACAAACCTAAAGGCAGATAGTTGTTGCATAATCGTCCTTTGTCTTAGAGAATTTCATTTCGCCGTTACTTACTTCTTTTATGTGTATCAGAGATAAACCAATGCTGACATGCCGCAGCCAGAAGCCAGAAGCCAGATGGCTGAGCAGCGCACAGATTCAGTGCCCAGACAATTGCCCTAAGATCACTTTTGGCTACCTGGAATAAAAGCGACTCAGAGCAGCCGCAATCCGATTGCCACCAGCTACCAGCCATCAGCCACAAGCCAGCGGCTGGCAGCCGGCAGACCGAGGCTAAGACCAAAGTCTTTGGCTAAGTTCAGCTCGACGTCTTATGGCGCGCCTGCGAGCCAAAAATAAAAGAAGCGAAATCACCATTTGTATATATATATGTAATTTTGCTACACACACACACACACACATACATATATGTGGCAGCCATGAGCACACACACACAAATTTACCGCACTTATACATATAAACGAGCAAATCACTAAATCCAGTGCACCCTCACCACGCGATAAACTCATATGAATGTGAATGCTGCTGGTGCCGCAGGATATTTGCCAAAGCTAGCAGCAACCCAGACCAGTCCCAAGTCCTATCCAGTGGAGTCCGCAGTGTAGTAGTCTATTAAAACAAATAGAAAAACAACACACACGCATCCACACACATACACACACACACACAGTGCTCCAAAAATATGAACAAAAGCCACGCACAAAAAAAGAAAAATAAAAAAGAAAAATAGTCATTGTGCTCAAATATAGTTGGGCTCCTGCCACAGAAGGCGAAAACTAAGCAACAAAAACTCTCAACTTTTCGTTAAAATTCAGAAAAATTGAATTTTTTTCTGAAAATGCTTCAAGCAACACAAGCAACAACAACAACAACACAAAAACATAAACATAAAATGTTGGCTATATGGAAATGCAAATAATGTATGTATAGAACGGTGCCTATGCATGTATGTATATCTACATATGTGTGTGTGTGTTTGTGTTAAAGTCAGCTTGCTTGTGTATCTGCGCTCAACTAACTAATAAAACTTTCAATATATATTTTATTGGAATTTCTGTTGTCATTTTATGCATAATAAATTTTGAAGCTAAGCTCCAATAAATGCTCTACTAAATAAAAATATACAGGTGTGTGTAGAGCAGGAGGGGCTGAGCGTCAAGGAGGTGGAGAGAGAGAGAGAAAGAGAGAGAGGGAACAAGTGAATGTACACAGTTGACAAAATGCAAACAAAATGTGAAACTGCATTTAAATAAGAACAATAAAGTTCGACTTAAAAAAAATATTATGCATGTATATATTACGAAATATTATTTCATTTGAACATGCATTGAAAACTGACCATTGGCTCTTATTGTATTAAATTTCAAAAAAGACACAAATAAAAAAATTTAAAGAAAAGAACAGTCGATTTTTGTGATTTTTTTATTTAGGGGAATGCAACCAAATATTTTGTAAATAATTGAGAAATCATAAAACCAGTAATTTAACAATTGTAACCAAATGAAAACAATAAAAATAAAAAAATAAGTACAAAATGTATCTTGAAAAAAAAAAAAAAAAAAAAAAAAAAGTTACTTATGTTGAAAGTTATACATCAGTAATTTATTTCAAATATTTCAGATATATTTTTGATATATTTTGATTTCAGCTCAACAAAAAATTTTGCTGAGCTGAGTAACCGAACATTTTCAATGAATTTTATCAATACTTGACCCATTGCAAAACTCAAAACGGGTTTACTTGCATAATATAGTCCAATTTGTTAAGTAAAATTCTTTTATTTGTTTTCTCTTGAGTCGAGAATAAAATATAATGAAGGTCAACAGTTCCCTAACAAATCATAGAGAAAACTAAGTACTTCATTTTTGTATTTATTAATAATTGAAGTCTTATTGTCTCTATACCGGAATGACACACATATATTGTCAGCTAGAGGACAATGAGCAGGCAGTATTCATTGTGAATATGCCAGAGTTGAATAAAGCGAGTTTGCTAGAGCTTAAAAGGTTAAAGTCAATTTAAAGTCAAATCATCATCTGATAATCGATTGAGGGTCACGTGCGACGGCAATGAATGCATTTATAAATGCATTTGGCCAACGAATGCAAACGAAAATGAAATTTGAAAATCTGTGCACATTAGCCAATTAACGTAATTTACGCAAACGCAACGTGTTTGCCTTTCAACTTCCAATTAAAAGCTGGGCCTGCCTCACGTAGCCCGAACTGATGCCAAAATGTTGGCCAAGTGTTTGCCGAGTGCAGCTGTCACTGATGCAGCGTTGCGTCGACTGCGGCTGCAGCTGCGACTGCGGCTGCGGCAGCGACTACGACTTCATTCTCACGTAGCATGCAAATTGTTGCAAATTATCGACGTTTCGTTCTGCTGCTTGCTTTAATGAGCAGGCAAAGGAAGCAGGCGACTGGCGGCGCCTAGATGCTGTCTTGGATACCTTGAGGCAGGACTGCCACCCCTCGGCCACCCACTGCCAACCCATGGCACCCCTCCTTGTCACCCTTCTCCCCACAGTCCCCACAGCCGTCACATTCTACACTCCAAGCATTCACGTTCAGCTTAAAGTTCAATTTCGTCGCCGTCTCCTGCCACTGTTTGCATTTAATTTTAACTTTTCTCATCTGATTTATGTATTTCAGCCGCGCCAGTCGAACGATTTTACATATTTATTTTGCATCAATTTCTCGCAGAGAGCTCGCTTAGAGGGAGGCTTTCGTAATTTTCTGCTGGCTCTGCGGCCTGTTGGGTGTTGTTGATGCGGTTACCATTGGCATTGCCATTGCCATTGCTAGGCAGTTGATATGCTTGCTGGCAAATGATATTTGTAATTCTAATGCCATCAAAGTGTTTCTCCGATATACGGTATTTGCATATACTTTACACAGTAGAAGAAGGAGAAGAAGAAGTAGAAGTGGAAGAAGTAGAAGTAGAAGAAGATGACGAAAATATAAATATTAACAAATTGCGACATCGTGTTGTTGTTGTTGTTGTTGTTGTTGCTGTTTGAATCATGCGCCATCGACTGCTTCAGCATCCCAATTAAAACACGTTGACCTGAATGGAAGCATGTTGAGCTTGTAAATGCTTATCATTTGGCTGAGCGTCTGTTAAGCGACTTGTAACTCAATTATTGCAATAAAGAATATATGATTATCGCATGGGGCTAATTGCTTTCGCCTGGCTAATTGCATGCAATTTATGTTCCAAAAGTGGGCGCACAGCGGTGCGCCTGGGCGAGGACGTGG